GATGCTGCCAGACCTGCTGATCTTTTTCAGCAACTTCTGTTTTTGTTCCTGATTCACAGCATCCACAGTTCTTTCAACATTACCACAATGCCACTCTCCCTCACCAACAACACTGTGAGTGCATCCACACCAAACAGGACACAGCACTCAAAGAAGATGCCTTTCTATCACTTTCTCAAGGAAAATGAATCATTAATAATCACTTCACAAATGAAAAATAAAGTTTACACTTTGTATACAATGTGGAATTTCTGTCTGAAAGCACTTGAAATTAGTCTTCTTCAACTGTACTTCAGACTTTTTATTAAAATCCATTTAATCTTATGATAAACATAAAATCTTCTGTGAACCAGTGCAATCAGCAAATGTAACAGAGCATTATTGCTTCTTCCTTCCCACAAAATTTTTTCTGATTTATTTAAGAGTGGTAACTGGTGTAGTTTTATTACAGCTATGAAGAGATTTATCAAAAAGAAACATTTTGTAAAGGTGACTAGTCATCCAGCTCTAAGTAACATGATGAAAACAAATCACTAAAAATGACTTTTAACAAATGAACCATTTCATAGTTTCATCGGTGCATACTGACTGGTTGCTTCGTAAATCAAATATTTTTAAATTTGACAAATATTTAAAATGCAGAAATTTCTTCTTTCCAAGAGATCTTTAGATTTTCTTGAAGGCTTTTTTTTATATTTAAGGCTTGTTTTCTGGCTTTCAGGAACTCCTGTTCATTCTCATTCCTTATTAAATGATACAGTTAAGTAGTAAAATTACCTTCTGTATTTGTGTTGAACTTTCTTTGCGGAGTTCTTTCATGAGATGGATAAGATAGAACAAATATCAAACAGTATATATGTTTAATCTTTTAACTTGGAATCTATAAGATGTTTTGTTGATTTAATATAAATAAATCTTGTATGCTCGGTTTCCGAAATGAACAATTGAACTGTTTGGCCATGGATAAAGTACTGGGGATGAGTGTGATATCTGCAAATGTGTTTTAAAAATTAATTGCAAGAAGGTTGCACTTTCTTTGGATTTGGTTCACCAACTTCAAGTTTCTTTTTCCTCGAACCTTTTTAAAAAAGTGATTGCTGACAAACATGCCAGGATGCTGACTTCCAAAGAACCACCCATACAACAAGGGGAACAAACAGCAAATAGATAGTATAATTCACATGTACTTTATATTGCAATGGAGACTTTTTTCAAGCTGTTTTTCTGAATGCAAGTTCTTGCACACTTATCCATGCTTCAATGAGGCATTAACTGGGACCCCTTAGCACAGAAGCATCCTACTTACATTAAAGACACATATTACTTAACAGAGGTGGTGAACTCTCTAAACACACCTGCAGTACCATTCTTTTACAATGGACATTGAATATCTGTACACAAATGTAGAAACAGGCAGAGGTTTCTGTACGCTCAAAATTACTGAAAGAGAACATCCAAAAAATCATGTTTGTGTCAGCTCTTTGCAAGAAAGTTATCGAATTAGTCCTCACTCCCACCTCCTCTATCCCCTTGGTTCTGCAAGAAGTTTTCCTTTCCAATCTTGAGCAAATTCTTCAAACTGTAATCATTAATGATTGATTTAAGTCAACTCCCCTCACAGCCTGAGAGTGAAGTGAGGTTAAGTTTTACAATCAATTCAAGTAAATGCAAAAACAAAAGAACAAATAAGAAAAGCTCGGGCTATAATTTGCCTCCAGCAACAACCAATAGCACTACCACTGATTCATCAGGCAGCCCTAACTCCTTAAGATTGTCTATAATTTGAATCACTCACCACTGCCTTGCATTTGGTGTAGAACACTTTCCAAACTATTTGTGAATGAGGCTACATTTCCGCTCCATCTTGCACTAAATGGCAAAAACCTATGGCCCTCTTGAAGGAATGTCTGCAGACTAAGATGGTGACCTGTTTAAAGTCGTTGACAGCCACACAATGGGGTTCATTCCAGTGGATGCCTTACCACATCTGCTGCTTCTTGGGCTGCGTCCACCCTTTCGGCTGCTTCTAGGGTGGCACAGTGGCTCAGTGGTTAGCACTGCTGCCTCACAGCACCAGGGCACTGGGTTTGATTCCACCCTTGAGCGACTGCCTGTGTGGAGTTTGCATGTTCTCCCTATGTCTGTGTAGGCCCCCTCCAGGTGCTCTGGTTTCCTCCCACAGTCCAAAGACGCGCAGATTAGGTAGGTTGGCCATGAGGAATGCAGGGTAACAGAGTTAGGCTAGATCTGGGTGGGATGCACTTTGGAGGGTCAGTGTGGACTCAATGGGCTGAATGGCCTGCTTCTACACTGCAGAGATTCTATGATTCCTTCCCCTGCTGACATCCCCAGATGAAGCATGGTTATCCCCTGAGATAGAGCAAGGTCCTGACTCCAACTCAAGCAATTCTCCTTAGAATCACAGAATTGTTACAGGCAGGAACAGACCGGAACAGACCATCGTCAGCTCTCCAAATGAGCATCTCACTTAATGCCATTCTTTGCATTTCTGCAACCATCAGTGTAAGTCTCAGTCCCTAATCCTGCATGGTGTTCTTTTTCAAGTAATAATTTCATCGCTTTTGAATGGTTTAATTGAACCTGCCTTCATCATACTCTCAGTCAGGGTGTTCCTAACCACTCATTGTGTGAAAAATACTTCCTCAAATTACTTTCATTAATTATTTTAAATTTGTGGTCTCTCGATCCTTTCATGAGTGGCAAAATTTTCTCCTCAATTACTCTGTCCAGACCTCTCATGATTTTGAACAGGTCAAATCTGAGGAATCAATTCTCCTCTCAGCCTTTTCTTGTCTAAAGAATACCATCCCACCTTCTCCAGCCTAAGTTCATAAATAATACTTTTTATCGTTGGAGCATACTTGGAAATCTCTTCTGCTCTCTCTCCAACAGACACAATACTCCAGCTGAGGGCAAACTAGTGTGTCATACAAGTTCAACATAACCTCCTTGCTCTTGCACACCCTGCCCCTATCAATAAAGCTTGGGATATCATGTACTTTGTTAACTGTTCTCTCAACTTGTCCTGCTGTCTTTAATGACTTTTGCACTTATACACCCAGGTCCCTCTGCTCTCGCAACCCCTTCAGATTTGAAACTTTTATTTTACATTGTCTCTTGTGCTCTCCCTATCAAAATTAATTACTTTGCATTTCGCCCGATTGAAATTCATCTGCCATTTATCTACCCACTCCGCCAACCTTTCTATGTCCTTTTGAAATTCTAAACTATCTTCTTCATAGTTTACAATATTTTCAAAATATCATCCATTTTGAAATTGTGCCCTGTACCCAAAAGGCTAGTAAACCACTATTTTCTGTTTCATATCACTCAGCCAATTCTGTGCCATGTTGCTTTGTACTCACACAGAAGCAGAATTCGAAAATTTCATCAATATTCCACTAATCATCACTGCTCCATTAAACTTAAAGCTTTAAGATACAAGAAAAGCATTAATATCTTGGACACCACAGTATATAAATTAGTGCTAGGAAACAGAATTCAGTTAAAAATAATTGCATAAAAAAAAATCCACAAGCTTC